ATGCAAACGCTACTACTAAAGCGGTATTTCCTATAAGGAAGATTGCTGTTAAAACTGTACCAGATTTGAACCGAAACAATTACTTTTGCTGATGTTTAAAAAGCCTTAAGATGTATCAATTTGGACACCTCCTGGAAGACTGACTCCCAGCTGAATTTGCAGACTGGGCAATGCTCAGCTCCTGAGCTGCACATCTCAGCATTTGGAGGTAGTGGGTAAAACTACCAGCATAAGTAAATATTGTATCACATATGGAAGTCAAATTTCTAAAAGAAAAATGGATATAAACAATGCAAATCAACACTCAGAGGAAATTCCTGGCAATTAGAAGGCATATTTACAAGGAGGTTTAGACAGAATTAAGTCATTACTACTAATTTCAGAGATAGCATTTTGAATCTGGTCTGACAGCAAATCATCCCTTTTTCCAGGAGTGCAATTAGCTTCATAATTTTTCCAGTGTGGGCAGGACGCTCTGTATCACAAACCAGGCAGTCAGGAATGCTGGTTTTCAGTGTCTTCTATGGTATGTACAATTCATGATATACCCAGGATTTGTGGCATGACTGGAAACACAGTTTGGGCAATGCGCTTCACCTTAATTCACAGTTAGTTCAGTCTTCATACAAACATGTTGCCACAGGAGGGTATAATGGCACTATCATATTTTTGAGTCAAACTAAGCCAGAGATGTATTTGACGTTTTTCTGTCACAGGAGTAACTTCCTTGAATTAAGTGACGTGCACCATGCGTGCTATGTGGCAGTTCAGAGATGCAGAACAGTTCAGAGATGCAGGACGCAGAGCACTACAGCAGAGCTCAGCTGGAATCACCCCCCAGGCACCTCTCTGTGAGCAGTGGAAGGATCTTGAATAATCTGAGCACAGGATCTGAGTGAACTAGTTTACATAACAAAATAAGTGTTTCATATCACTACAGAATTTGACAATTAGGGATTTCTTCACATGTTAGCAAAGACTGAGCCGGCTATACACAGAGATGATAATGCGGATCTGTGCTTTTTTAGTGGTATAAGTTTCTTGCACACGTTTTCAACATGTGTAATCTAGGAGGAATCTCTTTTTCTTTTAAAAAGCAGAAAAGCTTTAACTTTTTGGATGGTTTAAATGGAGGAAGACGCACCTCTCTCAGAACTCACAAATGTCAGCTATGTACTTGGTCTATAAGGTTTTGTAGTCCTAAAACTAGATGGCAATTCCAAATAGTGGCAATTTAGGAACACTCTCACCAAGCCAAGTCTGCAAGTGAAGCTGAGTGTTAATAATGCACAAATATGCAATGCTGAGAAATGGACAGAGATGAAATCACAGCTGCATTATCTGCTTCAGTGAAGGATCAGTGACAATACTAGAGAGAGCATTCAGAATTTGACAATGGATTTTTAGGTTTTCAGCTTGAGACTTTTACGTGGGTTATTTTCCTGTTGTTATTTTTGTTGTCTTTTTTTCTTTTTTCTTTTAGGAAGGAATGCTGTGCTGGGGGAATTCTAATATAAGACTACAAATAATACTCTTTTTACTGATGTTATTCTTATAGAAAGTTGATAGGCATTGCCGTTAATGCGTTTTTTTCTTATAAGCCATTTTGAGTGTTTAATGACTCCATTCTTACAGTCATTTCTGCAGGTGGAAATCGGAGGAAAACCTGTTTAATAGAGCTGATTTACCAGACCACTCTTTATTCCTGAGAAAAGGAGAAGAAAAAGAAAATACCTTGTTTGGTACAAGGGGCATCTCTCCCTCCTCTCTGTATTCTTCCCTCCACAATATCCAAGAAATGGCCTTGCAAGAATATCATAAGTTCTGTTATGCTTTAAGAAAAAAATAGTAATTGATGAACTCTTATTTTAATAGCAAACTATTTTACGCTTAGTCATAAAAACACTACAAATACAAGTGCACTGGTGTAACAACATTAGCGCTGCCTACAAATGAGACAGCTGTTGTAGGAAGTGGATTTTCCCAATTTGCCTCTTTCTTTTTATTCCATCCTTAGAATGATTTATCACTGCTTGTTACAACCAGCCATCTCCGAACTAATGCTCTCCAATATCATCTGTGATGACACTATTTACACACTAACTCATCTCTTCCAATAATTCACAGCTGAAGATGCATCAGTGGCACTGCCATTTAGAGGACGTGACAGTAAGACTAAGCACACAGGCTTTGCAGTTAATGACAACTAGTACTATCCATGCAGCAGGACATCTGGGAAGAGATGCAAAGCATTTTTAAATGCTTCTGGGTTCTGGTCATTCTATGTAACCTCAGGAGAAGTACTTATTTATTTTCTTTCTTATTTATTTATTGCATGTGCTTTTTATCAACAGTATCTTTACAATGGGTGCAATAAGCTTAACAAAGTAGTTAAAATAGTCGTAATAGATAATGAATGGATAACATCATAGTAAGCTTCAGGTGTGGGTAATTATAACAGGTGGTTAAAGACACAGGTTAAACAATACGCTACTATTTCCTTAACTAGTTCTCTGTTTCACATAAACAGGATGAGACTTTACAAACTGAAGAAGAAATGCAAAATAACTTTAGTCACTACATGAAAAACTGCCTCATTGGTTTTATTAGAAACTGATGAAAATGTACATTTGAAGGATAAGGTCTTGGTGGAGCGTTACTTCTTAAAGATTACACCTCTGCTGAAGTGAGTTTGTTTACAGACATGATGCTTTTCAATGCTTTGCTTACAATAAAATTGAAATGCTGAGGAATTTCATCAACAGCTGAATTCTGAAGCTAACATCGGGGCTCAGCCCTTAAGAGTATTCTGACTCCCTCCCATTTAGCACTGTACACAGTTCAGAACTCCTTTGGACACCACCTGGCTGAATCTGAGTGCAGATTTAAGAACCTACTTGAAATACTGCATGTCTAAGAGAGACTGACATTTTCTGTGAACTCTCCATAGCAAACCAAGTCTACAAGCTACATGCAGGTACAAGTACCTGCACAACCTCTGCATAATGCAAGTCTTCAGTCATCAAAAGTTCACAGAAAGCAGATACGGTGACTTTGGCTCTTGAATACTATGTCTGTCTTTTACATTTCACCATAGGGCAGTTTTGTTTGTAAACTCTCCAGCAAGAAATTCATAGAAACTTAGAGACTAAGTATTCATAGGTATGGATTGCACTGCCTAAAGTATAATGGCATTAACTACAAATGAGAAAAGATGAACAAATTCTGCCACAAACACTGAAAAATTAATTGTAAAAAAAAAAAAAAAAAAAAAAAAAAAAAAGCATTAAATAATTGAAGAGACTATGTGTTTAAATTTATTTTATACCTTTTATATGTGTTATAATTTATTTTATTTTAAACTCAAGCTGGTATTCTCCTGAAGAATGATTATTTTTTAGCTGAACTTATGCTTACTTCAGCAGCAACAATATATCTTCTTGCTGCTGAATTATCCCCATTTTTTAAGAAGTACATTACATTTAAACAGAACTGTGATATGAATTACAAATGTTAATCATTTCAGAATAAATAAGAATGCATTTCTTATCTATATATGAGAATCAAGATGGACAAATAAAATAGTATTTCGTTAAAAAGAAGATTTTTTTTTTTTTTTTTTTTTTTGCTGTCAAGGGCATATAGCAAAGAAACATAATTCATCTCTTTCACAGAAGAAGAATATCAACTCTCCAGAGAAGCAATGAATGCTGATAGAGAAGACACCATTACCCTTACTTGCAGACTTTCTTGGTGCATACCTAATGACCAGCAGTTGAATTAATAATAGAGTTGAGACAGGGATTTTTCCATATCGTCGTGGTGCATTTCTTAATCTTAGTGCACTTGCATTTGCATTAGCATACAAGCAAATTAAGGCACAAACTGTGTGTAATACTTAAAAGCACGCAAATGAACAAGAATGCTTCCCACTGGTCTTGAAAAATATCTTTGGGCTACTTGGAAATACAGTACTAAGAAAATATGTCCAGTATAAGGAAGTTTCCTTATAAGGAAAATATGACCAATATAAGGAACTTCCTGATAAGGAAATTTCAATTCAGGCCATCAAGTTTGCCAAGTACTACATCTTAATGGGTATGCATGTAGGATGCTCCAAAAGTAATGCCTCCTACTGACTTCCATGGAAAGTACAACAGATACAAAGAGCACAATAACACTGTTTGATAGAGCAAATTCTCAACTACAATACATTAATTCTGAACACAGGCACCAGCACGAGCTACGCATCTTTGCCAGCAAAGAATAAGAGCCTGCATGCTGTGCTTGTATAAACCTGCACCAGTGAGGTAAACTGCTGGCACCGCTGCTGAAATGCACCACCCACCACCTCACTGTTTGGGCTCTGCAAACCCTCAGCAAGCATCAATGAATGCCACTGGGTGCCATTTATCTATATGGAGGAATTCAGTGACACACATTTGCTTCATCTGCACTTCCATGTCAGATGCCATATTGTCAGGCTGCCCTTCTGCTGCCATACCACCATCAATTGCCTCTGATGTCGTGGACTAACATAATAAAACCGGATGCATTACTTTTGGAGCAGCCCTCAGACAAATTCTTTTAGATCACACATATTTTTGTCACACACAGCCCTTCATCATTATCACCCTGCACTACCACAAAATATGCCTTAAAAGAGCATAAATTCTGTGGATGATAGAAAAGCCGCCTTAAGGGAAATAAAAAACGCAATGTAGCCACAGACTTCACTACAGAGGGCTAATAATGCTGTGTTACTTTCAGTCTCTGTTTACTCGTAGTAACAGTAACAGACATTCCTTGATCCGAAAAAAATTATTTAGCTCATGAAGAAATCTTAAGCACCTTAACTCTGGAGTTCAGACCAGGGTACTGTAACTTGTTTTTGTTTCTATGTAGCGCCATAGAAAATAATCCCCACTGTAAAAAGAACACAAAGTCAGAGCGACACACTGTACCTTTCCTCTATTCCCCATCTACTGTATCTTATACTATGGAATGTTATCTTTTTTTTTTTTTTTTTTTTTTACAAGTTTCCTTTATTTTTGGTGACATTTACAATTTGTCTATCCCCCATCTTTTAAAACCTGATTGTAATGACTTTAAAAATTTAGAAGGTTAGTATTTCTACTCTGCCTTTGTTCCACCTGTCACAGACTTAAAATATACGTTCTTATTTGGGTTTCTTGGATAATTCCTCATGCCATATAAACACAGTGTTTTCCCTTCAACACTATGTGTGGAATGTGCTTTTTTTTGTGTAACCTTTTAAAAGCTCCAACTGCATACTGAAGGGTATTGCCAATTTAAGGGAAAAAAATCAGGATCAAAAGCAAATCTAGCAATTCACATTCTTTAACTCCTCTAAGATCAATGCTATTGGTCACCTATTACATGCTGCTATCACTCGCAAAACTCCTTCTGTTGGCCTATTGTTTTTACCTATTCTTTGGAAGACAGATGATCTGCAGTATTTCTTAACAATGAATGTATTCAGTAACTGTTTTTTTTTGTTTGTTTCTTAAACAAACATAGGTAATTAAAGGAGACACATTACTGAATTCTGATAGTTTCAGAGAAAAAAAAGGGGCAGAGTAAAGGGCATAGGTAAATAACATCAAAAGTCGTAAGAACTTACTATAGCATGGTAAGAAATGGACATGTAGCTCAATTTTCTACAGAAGAAATTTCTGGATTTTGCTATTTGGTAAGCAGACTTACATCCAGAATCTAATTGACCTTTACCCTTGAAACAAGCTATCATTAAATAAAATAAGTTGCAGATACAGAATTTGAAAAATACAAAAATTTCTAGCTGAAATACTTGTCAAAACTGTCTTCAGTCTTAAGGCCAACATGCATGACACAGTCACCATGTTAGAGAGCTGCTGGTGTTGACAACTGAGACAGGGACAGCAGAGTGAGAAGACTGTGTTAAGTAGAAAAACTCTGAAAAATGTCATTAGCAGTTACTTGCTGTAAAACACATAAAAGCCACAGTTCCTTAAATCTACAGTATGTGCTTTCCTATTTACATGTAACCTAAATGACAATATTACTGTGATATATAGCATTTGGCAGTATATGTCTTTAATGCAGGTATAGACATAATTCAAGATGGTACACATGTATATAAAAACCAGTTAATTTTAAAGTAATCCTAAATGAATATTGCAAATAATGTTGTATAAACGCATAGTGTTTGAGGGGAAAAAATACTTCAATGGAAAATGAAGTCCCACATATTGAGTTTGGCACTAGTATATCACTATGTCACTTTCTTTTTGATTGAAGATAGCTCTTTCTGAATCTCACTGAATTTTGGTCGGTTCTCAGGATGGTAGTCCCAGCACCTCTGCATTATTTTGTATATTTCTTCTGGGCATTTTTGCGGTGCTGACATTCGGTAACCTGGTACACAAGAAAAGGGGAAAAAGTTCAGTACTGTAAACTAATACATATTGACAAATTTAAAAAGAAATGTGCAAAGCTGACAATTAAAAAATAAACTGAGGGCCGGTTTTACATGAAATATGAACAAATTCTTCAATACACAACCCCGTAAGGATGGGTAAGTATTAATCTAACCCAAGCCCAGGTATTAATGACATTTAAGTTGTGTAGGGTAAATTGTCAATATGTTTCTCATCGCTGAGGGCAGCAACATGCATAATTTTTTTTTCCAGTATCTTAGGAATTAGGTACCCTCTTAAGCTTTAATCGTGCTATGCCTGTTTACCCCACCCTCCAGCCATCTGGGAAGAACATTAATAACATGGGAATTATAATCAAGACAGGAGTAGATTTTTTTACTCTTTTAAAATGTAAAGACCTTTATGTTCATTGCTCTTCCACTCTCTGTATCCTCAAGAAGTTCCCTTCCCACCTACAGTTTATCTGTTTTTTTCCTTCCCCTCATTTTCTTAACTTATTTTTGTATTTTCCCACATCATCCTAACACTATATTCTTCTGATTTGCTCTGTAGGCAGTCTGCTCTGAAAACTAAAGGAGGTCAATGACTTAAAGATGAACAGGAGAATAAACAACCACTTATTTGCAGCTGATAATTCAAAAGCCATAGATGAATGGACTGAAGAGATGTACCCAGAACAGTAAAGGCAAGTTCCTAATGAGCAGAAGTAAACCAAAAATCCCAGAATGCCTGCAGTCAAAAACCATGAGCTCCTGGCAAAACTCAAGCAAAAAAAGGGAGCATGAAGAGAATTAGTATGTTGGATGGAATACAAAGACAATGGCTAAGCACCCTAGGCTGAGGTTAGGAAAACAAGCCCAGCAAGAGTGGAATCCTGCCAGGGATGTGAAAGGCAAGAAGGAGGGCTTTGACAAAATAAAGGCTAGGGAAAATGTGGGCTCACTGCTCAAGAAAGCTTAGGATGTTGGGACACAACATGAAAAAGGCTGAGGAACTGAATGCCTTCTTTGTCTCTGGCTAGCAAGACTGGCTTTTAGGAATCCTAGGCCTGAAGGACAAAAGGAAAAGTCTGGAGCAAGGAAAATGCATCTTAGGTGGAAGAAGATCAGGTCAGGGAATACCTAAGCACACTGGACATATGTAGGTTCATAGAACTTGATGAGAAGCAATCACAAGTGCTGACGGAGATGTCACCAAGAGGCCTATCTTGATAGTACTTGATTGATCAAGAGGACCGGGAAAATGTCCAAGAACAAGGAGGAAAGTAAATGATACCCCTATCTTCAGGAAGGGCTGGAAGCACACAGTGACTACAGGTATGTCAGCTTCACATGAATCGTAGAGCAGCTTATCATGGAAGCCATTTCCCTGCACATGAAGGATAACAAAGTCATTGGGAGTAATTAGCCAATCCGAAGATCTTTGTGATGAAATCATCATATTTGTAGATGACAGAACAAGGGATTTCATAGAATCATAGAATGGCCTGGGTTGAAAAAGACCATAATGATCATCCAGTTCCAACCCCCTGCTATGTGCAGGGTCACCAACCAGCAGAGCAGGCTGCCCAGAGCCACATCCAGCCTGGCCTTGAATGCCTCCAGGGATGGGGCATCCACAGCCTCCTTGGGCAACCTGTTCCAGTGTGTCACCACCCTCTGGGTGAAAAACTTCCTTCTAATACCTAACCTAAACCTCATTCTGTCTCAGTTTAAAACCATTCCCCCTTGTCCTATCACTATCCATCCCTTTAAACAATCATTCCCCCTCCTGTTTATACGCTCCCTTCAAGTACTGGAAGGCCACAATGAGGTCTCCCTGGAGCCTTCTCTTCTCCAAGAGAAGAGGAACAATCCCTCAGCCTTTCCTCACAGGAGAGGTGCTCCAGCCCTCTGATCATCTTAATGGCCCTCCACTGGACCCGCTCTAAGAGCTCCACATCCTTCCTGTACTGGGGGCTCCAGGCCTGGACGCAGTGCTGCAGATGGGGCCTCATAAGAGCCGAGTAGAGGCAGACAATCACCTCCCTCTCCCTGCTGGGCACTCCTCTTTTAATGCAGCCCAGAACACAGTTGGCCTTCTGGGCTGCAAGCGCACACGGCTGGCTCATTCAGTGAGGCTATAAGCAATACATTCCAGTAGATCTGAATGGAGAAGCACTTGAAATACGGTCTGAATGTGCAGACAGGTGGACTGAAAATCTGCTGAACAGTCGGGCCCAGTAGAAAGCACACAGTCTAGTAGGAGAGCTGTAATTAGTAAAATACGCCAGGGCTCAGTACTGGGGCCTGATTAACATCTTCATTAATGATTTGGATCTTGTGGGTGGCAGAGTGTACCCTCAGCAAGTGTGCAGACGACACAAAACTGGGAGGAATGGCTGATATACCACTGTCATGCTGCCATCCAGAGGGAACTCAAAAAACTGGAAAAATGTACCTTATAAAGGTCAAAATGGAGATATGGAGAGTCCTGTACCTGGGGAATAACAACCCCAGGTACCAGGACATGCTGGGACAACCCAGCTGAAAAGCAGCTTGGTAGAAAAGGCCTCAGCAGTCTCGGTGGACACCAAGTTGAATGTGAGCCAGACAGAAGTACATACCCCAGGTACCTTTGTGGTAAAAAAGGCTAGTAGGATACTTTGCCTTGTTTGGCAAAGCATTGCTATCAGGTGGAGGGACGTAATCCTTCCTCTTTTCTAAACACTGGTGAGTGAGGCCACATATGGAGAGCAGGGTCCATTTCTGAGCCCTCCACTACAAGAGAACATGAACAGACTGCAAAGAGTCCTGAAGAGGGCCACAAAGAAGACTGAGGAGACTGAAGCATCTCTCTTCTGAGTTAAAGCTTAGAATGCTTAGATTCAGGTTCAACCTGGCAAAGAAAAGACCTCCAGGGAACATCTCATCATTGAGTACAAATACCTGAAGGGAGGATGGATCCAGGCTCTTTTCAGGGTTGTGCTATGCCAGGACAAGATGCAGTGGGCGCATGCTGGAACACAGGACATTCTCTCTGAACATCAGTGAGCACTTCTGTGCTACGTGGGTGATGGAGCACTGGCACAGGCTGTACAGAGAGGTTGTGGGGTCTCCTTACTGGAGATCTCCTGAAGCTGCCTGTTCCTGGGCACCATGCTCTGAGTGTCCCTACTTGAACAGGAGACCAGATGGGACCTAGAAGTCTCTGTCCACCTCAGATGTTCTGTCGTTCTGTGAACTGTTTACCAAATACAGCTCTCAGGGTTAATTACAGACAGAGAACAGCACAGTGGGCTGACACACAGGGTTCTACAGCTAACACAGCTCTGTGACTTCAGGCTTACTGTAGAAACGTCTCTCTCTCTTTCTAAAGCAGAGTATAAATGACACTAGGCTCACACAACAGGTAAAACATAGAACTATTTTTGATATTTTTTATATTATATGCGTCTGCTGTAAGTGCATGATTTATGTGTGCAACTTCAAAGGAGAACAAATGAGCTCTAAGACACACAGATAATATGAAGCCACATAAAAATCCTTTCCTTCATAAAGTTGTCCCTATAAACTAATTTTTCAAAACAGTGATGGCAGCAACTACTTTTTGTCCGTAAATACTCTATATACTCAATTTGGGATTGAAATTATCCTGGTTTAATTGTAAGCATTCAAGCAACTAAATGTACTGATGACTCATACTGATTGAGGAATTGAGACAGATAAATCAGGATGAAAATCTGGAGTATCCTAGCTGACTATCCTAACAGATAAGCTGTAATTTTGTGAAAACCAGACAAACACAAGAACGATACAAGAAATGATGATTCTAGAAGAAAAACTGAAAGAGAATTTCTGATGGGCCATAGTACAAAAAAACTAGAAAGGCAAAAAAATACTTCTTAATTTTTCATCTGGACCAATTTCTTTGCAGTGGATTCAAACAGTAATTAGGTAGTAAAACTTATTTTAACATATATGTCTCTGCTTTGACAAAGACTGAATTTCTGCTTTTGCCTTTTAAGGATAAGCTTTGATGGTCATCTACAGTGATTATAATCAATAACAACAACCCCCCCCCTCCTCTCACCAAACTACGCTTTTTAAAAATCAATTACCAGTCTTACTCATTTAGAATCTGTTTTACACAGTAGTACTACATAGAGTTCTGAAATGTCACTAAATATGATGAAAATAAATCAAAGTCCTGAAATCCTGCTCATAGTTATTTGCTACTTTAAGAAAAGTCTTTTGATTATTTTGTAGGGGAGAAACGCAGCTTTTATGGCTCAAGCAGCTTACCATTTTCCACTGTAACTGATAAAACTTCATCTGAAATACTTTAACATAGAAGATGGAATGATACAGATTTTTTCTTCTAGAAGTTTAGAATATTTATAGGTGCATTAGCATAATCTTAAATAATTCATTCCCTTCAAGCCTCTGCTTTGCATAGCAGTAAATTCATCCTCTCTTCATCTTACCTTTTAGTAACACACATGTATGTTTTATATATTATGCATATATATAATGCCTACAAATCCTTCCTCCTTTAAGTCAATGGTCAATATATTCCTTTTCATTTTTAATATACATCTATGTTTGTTAGAATTATCAAGTAAATAATTTCACAATATTTTTGCTAACATTTCCAGATAGCTAATTCCAGATAAATAATTCCAGATATTATTTACTTGCTATCCTTCTTTGTCTACTACATCCTCATGAATGTATACAGCATTTCTTTCACTCCCTACCTTTCTCAACTTGTTCCCGTGCTTGCTGGTTGGTCATTCCGGGATATGGGCATACTCCTAAACTGAATGTCTCCCACAGAAGGATTCCAAAGCTCCATACATCGCTCTCTGATGTGTATCGCCCTAAGAAAAGGAGAAAACCCACAGCTTAGTCTACAGAGAAATTCATTCTTCAAATGATTTCAGATACTATTTTTTTTATAAAGTATTATTATATTGGGAATTTTTAAGCTGAACAAAGCTGTAGCTACAAATAAACACTCTGTAAATACCATAGTCTTCAGTATTTGAAATGATATATTGTCTTAAACACAATAACTATACAACAAGCCAACTTTAAGAAGTTTGACAAACAGACTTGCTACACAAAAGATATGATTGAGATAACCTTACCATATCAATTATTTTGCTGGTAATTTAAGAATTACTTACTTCTTACTGTAAAAAAAAAAAAACAAACTCTTTTAATACAAAAGGACTTCAACTGCTGTTTAATTTGACCCTGAAAAACTGATGCAGCCAATCAGTCAAAGTAAAAGTAAAAAACTGGACTTGCTTGTTCCAACTATCCTTCTGAGACAGTAAATTTTGATAACTGACTTCCAAACCTCTCTGTGTAATGAAAACCTGATTTCATGGAAGAAGAAGAGCTCTTGTATCATTGTCTCTGATGTATTCACATTAAAAAAGGCACTGCATCAGAAAGTGAAGGATCCAGGCCTTTTGTAGCAGGATCTACAAAAATGTTACCTTAAAAATCCACCTCCCACAATTCTTTCATCAATTTTTTGTTTATATTTATGTAACTTATTATTGCATTGTATATATATATATCTTCGGTCTTAAAAATACATGCATGCTTATGAATACATTGTTTGTTCATCTCCAACCACTAGATTAAGCAAACTAAGCCACCTCTGGCTAGAAAAAAAAGTAAAATACATGTAAATTATAGTGAGTCGGTGATATGTCAACTGCTCTGACGTCAGAAAGTTCAGTTTACTGTTAAACTAAGTATCACTTCCAGCTGTGCTATATTAGTTAGTGTGCCTTGTAGATGGTAATTATGAACATTCACTGTGCTCTTTGTAATAAGATTAGTTTTCTTGTCGGTATATCAACTCTCTTCAGAGTTTGGCATCCACTAATTTTAACATTTTTCCTTGAAATCATATAACCACAAATAAGAATAATGGTAAGGAATGCCACTGAACAGTGCCCACTGAAGTAAACGCTGAATCTTCCACAAACTCCAGTAGCATCAGGATTTCAGTTGTAACTTCAGACACAGCTCCCTGACCACTCCGTTTTTCCTAATCCAGTTTAAAGATCACAACTTCAGTTTCTGGTTTGTTTGTTGGCTTCTCCTTTTTTTTTTTTTGTGTGTGTGTGTGTGTATGTGTGTGACTCTATTCATTTTATATATACAGTGAATCCGAAAGTGATAAAAAAACCCCTCTTTTCTTATTTTCTTATGCACTGCATCATTCACACAACGGCCAAATTTCCCTCTCTTTCATTTTCTCCCAACTCTTACATTTTTCTACTAAGAACCAACATGAACAGTAGTTTTGAGTCATGGAACATTTAGTTCTGTTTCAGTCTGGTATTAATAAATGCCTTCAATGTTACCCACACAAAATAATGCAGTAGATAGGTCACATTATCAGCATTGTAAAACACTAACCCATTATTTTTACTTGTATCTTTCAAGGGAGTAGAAAATACAGTCCTTCAAAAATACCCAGAAACCTACCACCACTTTTTGAATATCATATATTAGACTGCTGACAGTAAAAATATTCAAGATGGCTTATTTTCACAGAATCACAAAATTGTAGGGTTTGGATGGATCATTAAGTCCAACCCCCCCTGCTAAAGCAGGACCCCCACAGGTAGGCATCCAGACATCATGAATATTTCCAGAGAAGGGGACTTTACAATCTCTCTGGGCAGCCTCTTTCAGTGTTTTGCCACTTTCGCAGTGAAGTCCTTCCCTGTGCTAGTATGGAATTTCTGTGTTCTAGCTTCTGCTCATTGTTCCCTGTTCTATTCCTGCACATCACCAAAAAAAGTCCACCCCTATTGACTTGACCCTTGCACTTTAGATATTTATAAGCATTTATCACATCCCCTCTCAGTCTTCCTTTGCCCAGGCTGAAGAGACCCAGTTTACTCAGTTTCTCTTTGTATGCAAGATGCTCCAGGCCTTTCATCATCTTTGTTGCCTCCACTGGACTCTCTCTAGAGGTTTTTTTTTTTTTGAACTGGGGATTCCAGAACTGGACACAGTATTCCAGATGTGGCCTCCCCAGGGCAGAATTGAAGTGGAGGATCACCTTCCTTGACCTGCTGACCAAGTTCTCTTCAATGCAGCTCAGGATACCACTGTCTTCTTGGCCACAAGGGCACACTGCTGGCTCAAGGCCAACCTGTTGCCCACCGGGACACCCAAATCCTTCTCTACAGAGCTCCTCTCCAGCAGGTCAGCCCCTAAACCATACTAATGCAGATGGTTACTCCTCCCCAGGTGTTTAAAACTCCACTTTTGTCCTTGCTGAAGCTCATCAGGTCCCTCTGTGCCCAACTTTCTACTCTGCCAAGGTCTTCCTAAATGGCAGCACATCTTTTCGGTGTTTCAGTAACTACTCTTAGCTTTCTATCATCTGCAAACTTGCTGACAGTGCACTGTATTACTTCATCCAGGTCACTGATAAGGATTGAATAAGAAAAGACCCAGTACTGACCTCTGGGGAACACTGCTAGTTGCAGTAATAAGTAATAAGTAATAAGTAATAAGACTGTTTCCTATTTTATGTAGTTCACTGGACTGCATCAGGCTACGAGCACCAGGTTTCCATTATATATCAGTATACTCTATGTACTTTTGAAACAATAAAATAAAGCTTTCAAAACACCTGCTGTAGCGCAACAAACACCAGAATAGAACGTGTATTCTACAGCAACCAGCAGCAACACTAGAACTCCAGAAAATAACTGGTAATATAGGATCAATTTTTGTAACTGCATTTATTTTTAGCTTTACAAAGGACAGATCTGCTTTAATGTATTATGGCATTAACTTCTGTAAAAGTGCTAACTAAATGAAGCATTTTCCTGTCAAGTCACAAAGTTATGATTTCCAATGCAGGATTTTAAACTCAAGCTTTAAGAGATGGACAAAATATTTGTAGACATTTGAGAGAACTGCATTTAAAATATAACATCATCCATTTAATATGCTAACTCTTCACAGTTCAATTCACTTAGAAAATCTTATTTTCTAGTTTTACTCACAAGTTAAAAAGCTAAATGCTACAGTTTCTATTTTTGTTTTGTATCTAAAACACATAGTATGGACCACTTCCCTTAATCAGAAATAATGGATTTTCCCCCAGTGTGAGAACAGCACAGCATTATACAAAACTACAGGTTAAAAAAAAAAAAACAAAAAAACGTCAGTTGAAAAAATATAAAGCAGTCTTAATTTTTTTCAAGTGCAATGATTTACCTAACACAGAATATTAACATTTTCTACCATTTCCAAAGAAATGCGAGAGCAATCACTGCTCTAAATATGCAGAATCTGCCATTTTTTGGTAATGATTCAGATGACTAACAAATCAGTCCACTAGAACCAGTCAGTAGCACAGCCAGAGCATTATTTTAGTGCTCGATAATAACATAAGAGCAGCAAGCTGCTGCCTTATTCCTTTCAAAAGTAGAATGGTACTTTATATACCATTTAAATATGATGAACCACTAAAGTATTTTAAATCTTTTTGATCTGACGTGAATCCAAGGAAAAACTACATATACACTAAAATATTGTGGATGGGATAGCCCTCCTGCTTCTTGTACTGCAGGTACTTTCTGCGGGGAAGTAACAGATACATCCTTACCGTAGTTGAGGGCTTCTGGGGCAGTCCACTTGATAGGAATCTGCTTTAAGCCTGATGATGAATATACTCCATCATCCTCTTGACGAGACATTCCAAAATCGCTTATTTTCAGTATGTTGCTTTCACCCACCAAGCAGTTCCTTGCAGCCAGATCCCTAGGTTAGAACAAGAAACATTAACTCCGCATTTCTACATGTTTAAAACTACTTGTTTGGAAAATGTGAAGAAAAACATGAAACAATTTAGCAAGTCTTTTCTACTACAGCTCAATTTGCCAGTGAAATGAGTGGCACCACACAGATCAAGCTTTTAGAAGCTTGTGGGGAGACCACGAGAGGTATTTTCTGAAGGGACTGCAGTGTGAGGGGAGCCCACACGGGAGCAGGTTTATCCTGAAGGACTTCAGCCCATGGCAGGGTTGCAGTGAGGTGGAAGAAGCAGCTGAATGGAGAAGCAAATCTGCATGTAAGCAGATCAGATTTTGTGTGAAATGAAACAGAATTCCAAGTAGATGCCTAAAACATCTTCCCATAGTTAGGAAAGACACTGAAAAAACAAAACAAAACAAAAAAACAGAGAACTAGCTCTTACATATTACACATATTATCATTGGAATTCCCATTAAAAATACAGCTACTGAGTATTACAGAAAAAGGCATTTTGGCTCAGTGACAGGTGAGAAGCTTAAAAAATCAACAACGTTCCTTTCTCTCTGATCTCAAATATACCTTTCTAGATTAGGAGAGAGGCTGTAATAATAACTGATAAAAGACCTAATGTAGCTTCTATGCAACACATGTTTGAGATACAAATACATGAAAATAATGTATTATTAATGCAGTATTCGTTTATTACATTATTTCACATTATATTAAAATAATGAATAATAGTGATTACTGTAATTCCAGTCAGTGTAATAAAATACATATGATGGTTTTTGGAGGAAAAACATTTTAAACAATAGGATTGAATTGTAACAGTAGCTACAACTCCTGGGCAAAGTATTCTTAAAATAAATACACAGTGAATATTTTTAGCTTAGATAGCTAATATTCCATGGGAAATAACTACACTCGCTTTCACATTTTAGACTGGAGCTGTAGCCGTTTTGAAGTGAACCCCCTGTGCGCACTTAATGGACAGTCATTGGTTTTGAAGAGTGATTTTAGAGCATGGAAACTAGGTTATTTTTGAAGGAAACTAACCTGGAGCTTTGCCCAAGGTGTGCACCAAATTTGTGTCCGTACCTACAGCAGGAAGAAAAGTCTGAACCAATGACAAACAGCTCTAAACACGCTGCATGGCAGTGACACTCAGGACATTGGTCTGAACTAAATTTCATCTTTAAGTAAAAGTCTTGATCCATATATTTACAGGTGTTAAAGTTCCTATGTCTGCAACTATTTTGATCAATTGATGCATACTGATTTTGTACTGTATTATTTGCTACATACAGAGCCTTTGTTTGTAGGTAACCATTAAATTTGATCTGAACATTTAAACTGCAGCTGACTCACACAGCTTTGCTGTCAGTAAGATAATTTATGCCTCTTGAGCGTCATGCTACATTAATACATATTCAGTTATTTTTGCAGTTAAGGAAACTGTGCTCCTTAAAAACACATCTGAAATCATAGTTTGCAGCTGAAAGTATGCACAAATATCTAAACTGGCTCAATATGTACCATCATACATAGTTTAATGTTAGTATGAGATATTGCTCAGTTCCGGTACCAGTTTGTTACTGCTTATGTTCAAGAAAAATGTATCACCATGACATTCCCAGTATTTATGGCTGAGGTTCCAGTTATATTTCAGCTCTGAGGGTTGGTTTTTTTTTTTTACCATTTTACTCTATTTAGTCTAGATCTTGTGACAGTTGCTGATAAGGAGTAGGTCATATGTGAAAGAAAATTTACAGTTAGTTAAAACCATGCACATCTCCTTACTTGAGTCAGACCAGCATTTAAATCAGTTCTGAGTAAGATTCAGAAAAAGCTAAACACTGAGCTGTCTTAAGTTTGTTCCTCATAATTCTGATTATTAGGGAAAATATATAATAAATAGTATAATGTTGTATGCAAAGCTTACATGCAGTTCACGCAGTTTTTGTCTGTTTCATGTGTGACAATTTTATTTATCTTTTAGCATCACCTAAAAGAAGTGCTTGTCATTATTACTAAACATTGCCTATTACATTTCCAAGAAAATCAAACTGAAATATGAGAAAGTGGTAAAGTTTGCAACTATCTTCTAGATGTACATAAATTAACACCAGATCTTCTAAAAGATCACAGACACAGAAGCGTTGGCTTCATGCAAGTGATTTTCAAGCTGTCTGTTATTTAGGAGTGGGTTGCAGAATGATACCATTCAAGTTGACATCCTGTATACAAGCACCAAGGAAGGAATCACGGGCCAGTGGCTAGCTAATAGTCTGCAACTTGTGAGGGTGGACACAACTGTCAAGTTCGCCATCAGTCTTTCTGGGCAAACTGTTGATGCTTTATTTTTGTCAGTTACCCATCTATCACACCAAGAAGTATTTTTATTGCTATCTGTAAGTGATGAGCCCCAGACAAGACAGTTTAGCCATGTTGATGAACCTGATCTTCCCTTGATTATATCTCAGCCACTCCTTAACTGAGCTGAAAGAAAGGTCCAGTACAATGCTTAGCAAGAGCCAAGTCATGAGGAGAGGCCTCTTGTCATGCAACCAATCCTGGAAATGGAGCAAGAAAAGCTTCCAGAAGTCCAGGAACTGGGGCCAATAAACAGGAGCACGTGCAAGTCTACGAGGGACTCTACACAGAACAGCCTCATTGGCAGGTCCAGTGCTGCAACCAAGATGGTACTCTCCCTGTTCCCCGATCTTTCTTTGCATTTTTCCTCTCAAAGTTGCTAAGTAATGCAAAGCTTACTTTGATTTTTCATAAATCCTCACAGTTTAGTTAGATGTACTTGTGAGAGAGCCAATGCCTGCAGGGTAGCTGTTCTCTAGAAATCTTCCACTAAAGCTTATGTTCATGTACACACCTTTAGTGTTATTTCACCTTAATCTAACCATGGGGATTTGCAAATCTCAGTCATTCCTCCCTCCACACAGTCGGGATGTGACAATCCCACCAAAAATTCTACTCCTCTGCACACTAATACCTTGCCATTCGGTGGGATAAAACAGTATGACTACAGTATAATTCTCAGTAGTTCACCTTCAGCAGCCTCAGGTTCTGAAATTACATCCACTGAAAATGTATTTTTTAGGTTCTTTTCTCCCTTCTCTCTTGTAATTTCTTAGCAGTGTCTATTTATCTATTTTATCATTTCATTCCTATGTCTTGTAATTGCCCTGAAAGTTAGGGTACCTTGTTAGCATTTCCATTCTCATCTACTGAATCATCCAGAGTTCCTCATTTGTATTTGCACACTTAAGAGCATATTAAAATGTATTACATTAGCCACCTCATGCTTTTCTTTTTTATGCTGAGAGGTTGCTATGATTTTTCAACATATCCCAAGCAGCTTCTGCACTGCTTCTCCTCATGTCTGACATCAAGATGATATTCATATTTTTCTCTTCCAATATGAGACAAATAACCACTATGATTTACTACAGAACTTATAGTGCGAATCTGAAAAAAAACGAAAAGATATTTTAAAAAGTTATATTAATTAATAAACTATAAGTTTAATTTTCTTTCAGATAGCTCCAATATAACACAGATATGGAGTTTAAAGAAAACTCTTTGCATTGTAACCTTCCATACAAAGTACACACAATGGAGTTTCATTCAAGAGTCACTATGTATGGTGCATGACATGAGTGACATGAGTGTACATGACATGTATACATATAATGCCTGTGACAGAAAGTGTTATGAAGAGTCACTATTACTGATAATTTCAGTTAGATATCTGTAGTAACTCTTCACACTTTCTAGATAGCCTGTAAAAAACATACAAAGAGAAATCAATGTTTTATTTGTTTTCACTTTCTTCTCCTTAATGTCCCTAAAGCAAACATCCTGAAAAAGTGCAGATATAATTGCATGGAATTAGGTGTCTCTCTCTGCATGTGGGACATTGTTTTTCTTCTCCTGCAGCATTTGCTAGTTGCTGCAGTAAATCCATAAAATCAGCATGCATCTTTAACATAGAAAATCAACAAATATTCCTCACTTCACATTGTGTAAGCTATAAAAATTAGGCACAAATTACACAGAGCTGCTACAGAACAAGTTCCTTACTAAAAGAGACGCTATGACTATCATTATTTAATATCATAATTATGGAAGTTCATAGTGCTATCAGAAACAATGTTTTTCCCCAACTACTAGAAAATAAAAATTGATATGTAAATCAGAGATCTGAGTTTTAAGCAGTTCCTTTAAATGCAAACAGGGCAATGACTACAAGTCACTAACACAGGCTGAATATGCTGAAACTGCTAGAGAGAGCTCACGTAAGGCTTCTGCTAAGAATTCAACAGCAAGCCAAAGTGGAAGTAGAAGCAATTACTCTGTGCTGGGAGTTGTTACCATCTGGATTCGTATCCATCAGAGAAGACATAAACCTCAAACTTTTCTCAAAGGACTCCACCTCTAAAGAAGTATGCAGAAATTGATACCTACTATTCGAATAGAATCCCATCAACTAAAGAAAATCAAAAGAGTGAACTCCTCATTACTAAAGCAGCAGGACAGATTGCCTCTCTGAACTAATTAGCTGTTTTATATCTTCTCCCTGGATCATGCAGTTAAAATGCTCCTAAGTGATAAAAGCAAGTAATTAATTAGTGAACAGGATCAGTTTATTCCCTCCGCATATTTAATTCAACCAATATAGTCTATTATCTGATTAAAAGAGAAGGGTTGTTAGCAGGTCTACACATGAAACTGATATTTTTGTGAACTACTGACGTTACCTGTCCTTCAGCCATCAGCCTCCTAGATCTTTGGCAAATTGCTGAGAAGAATCCAACTATAACATCCACTAACTATTTCAGCAATCTGGCAGTGAATCCTGTCAGATCCCACGGGCTTATGAATGTTGGGTTGTCAGAAACATTTTTTACATTTCCAGAGACTCTAGGTAGAAAGTTACTGCTCCTCCAAACATAGGTCCCCCAACTCTGAGGACTGGGCAACTCCATGTT